TCCTGCCAGTATGCAGAATGGGGAGGGGAGAAGTGCCTGCCTTTAGAGCAGTGATGGAACAAGAGCATCTTGACGTGATTGAGTCAGGCCATGCTGATGTTGTGGCAAATGCATGTATATGTAAGAGCTGACACTCCACAGGTGCCAGAGACACTTTTGTGGCTCAGGAGAAGCTCATACTGGGTTGGGCCCTGAGCTGAAGGCAGGGGCAGGGGTTTGGTTACCCAGCTGGACCCAGGTGATGTTTCTGAAAGCCATAATACAGGCACACTTTCCTAAATGTGATTGTATGACTTTGCTAGAACTAAGCTTGGAACACTAAAAGTAGCACCTGATATTTAGGAAATTTTTGACACTCGGGCTGCCAAGCTGTGACAATATAATCAAGTGAGGTTTTTTAAACACGTGGAAGTGTGATTTCAAATATCTCATCAAGAGTTATTGCAGGATCTTCTCTCCTAAAAGACAGCTGCTTTGGAAATATCTTTCCAATTAATCCCTTGCTTGCCTGGGGAGTGTGGGTACCACAGCTACCACCCAGCAACCACCACTTCTCTCCATCACAGTCTCCTCCACATCCCAGGGTGAGAGAGCCTCCAAAACAACTGGTAAAATAGCACAGGAATGGCCTGCAAGGGTCTGATGTGCCAGCTTTCCCCAATATTTAATGAAATGGGTTGCAGGAAGGGGAGATGATGCTGGAGCCTGGAAGAGCAGCATTCTTGGAGGGGAGCAGTGCCAGGAAAGTGCACAAAATATAAAATACAAAATAGATACAGACTGCCTTAATGGGCACAGTCTGCAGCCATCTCAGGAGACTGCTGGCTGCTTTTTGGGCCAGTGAAACCTTTGCAGATCAATTCCTGTGGTCCTCACACCCAGCAAGAGCCACACCCAGCAGGTAAAGAGCAGCATTTCCAAGAGGACAGATCTGCTGGAAGCTCACAGTGCCTGCTCCTGGCTTGTGGAACTCGTTTTTTGGTGTTAAGGGCCAAGCCACTTCACCCCCAGTGTCCCAGCTGTAAAACAAGGATCATAAAATGCACCTAACATAAAAGCAGGTTGTGAAAACCTAATTAGTAGGTGTTGGTCTTTTGAACCCCTCAGGTAAAAATTGTGGCACTCTGAACTCTCCTCCTGGGGAATTCAGGTGGATAAATTCAGCTTAATAATCCCCCAAGGGACTATTATCTTTTATGTGGAGGAGGAAGAGGAGGACTTGGGTTGTCCAAGGAAGAGGCAGAGGTTTTGTTCCACCAGGAATGAGTTTCACATTAAGCTGAGCTCTGAGGGAATGGTTAAATGGGGTTAAATGCAGGAGGGTTGGAATGAGATGATCCTTAAGGTCCTTTCCAAACCCAAATCATTCTGTGAGCTATGAAATGGGTGGTTGGGTGTGGCTGAAATTTCCAGTTTCTGTTTCTCATGCCTTCTTCCCATGTGTAAGGCCTGCCACAAATGCTGGGGGGGAGCAGGACTTGGGGGTGGGCATTGTAAAACAGCCATGGAAAACACATTTTCTAGTTAGTGAGCCTGGGAACGTGGACATGTGGAGGCTGCTGGTGTAGATCTGCTCTCCCAACGAGGCTCTGTGACCTACTTGTTCAGTCAAAGCAGCTTTGAGTTCACGTGTCCAAGCGGCTCCAAGCGAGACCAAACTCACCTAGCAACAATTAAGAGAAGCATTTAAGAAGCAGGAAACGATGAAAAGGAAAATAAAAACCCCTAAACAGGCCCATTCACAGGGGGTGAATAGAAGGGTCTTTGCATACCTGATTTTGTCACAAATTATTCATCCAGGAAAATTAGGACCTGGACCATGTGACAATTTTCTTTGACATCCTCTGATATATGAATCAGTGTCACTTTAGATCTGAGCACAGAACGTTTTGACCTATATAATATCCTAGATAGTGGCAATGCAGCTTGAAAATCTCAGAGAAAATGAGAAAAGATGGCATAAGTCAGTAAGATGGCATTAGCACATATAGATGCAACTTATCACTGGAAAACATCCCAACAGAAGCCCAAAGAAAAATGTTTTGTAAATAATAGGATTAGGAAGCAGGTTGGTACTTTGTGGAGCTGGCTATACAATGAAACTGATAACAACTAGATTAATAAGGCAATTCAGTCCAAACACAGTGTAGCACTAGAAAGCTTTTCAAAATCAATGCTATCTGTGCTATTTTAATCGAGGTTGGTCTTTGCCTTTTGAAGCAAAGAGATTTGAAACTCCAGGTCAGGGAGGTGGAATAAAATGGACTGGGGTTTTTTTTGGGTTTTTTTGTTGTGGTTTGTTTGGGCTTTTTTTAACATGTGCTTCCTAATTAGTACCTTCCATTTCAGAATGTTTTCCTCTTCCCAGGAGGGGAAAATGAGGGTATACAGGGGTGCTGGCTTGCCTGTGTTGGCAGTGAAGTGTGGCAGACCTTGGAGAATACTGTGCTTGGCTCAGTTTCAGTGTTTTGGGCAGCTGGTTTGTCTGGCTGGCACCCACCAGTGGGCTGGGCAGGGTGACTGGAAGGGCCAGAGACCCCACAGCATCCTACAGCACACGTTGCCTTCCACTGTGCAAAGGGAGATTGCAGGGAAAGCATCCTGAAGTTGTAGTGTGGCACACAAAGCACCAAGAACTGACAGTTTGGGGCATTTTAAGATCCATAAACCAGCTCAGACCTTCAGGCAAGTATCATGTCTCACCTTTGGGCAGTGTCCATGTCCTGAAGAGAGAAACCAAGCCTGGCTCAGGGAGCAGTGTCCTTGCCAGCATCTCAGGTGTCCAAAAGAGCATCATGGCCAGCAGAGCAGTGATCCCAGTGCCGTGGGAAGATGGTTAGCAGAGCCTTGCTCTCCTCCACCAGTGAGCTGTCCCCTCCCTGTTCATTTATGACAGCAGAACCCTCTGTCTGCATTGCAATATTTTTGCTTTTCACAGTGTGTGAGGAGGAGAGAGTAACCCCTGACACTGTCCTTGAGGCAGTCAGCTGGCAGCCAGTCCCCTTCCCCACTGCTGCACACAGGCAGAGATGCTCTCAACTTGTCTCCTCACATGCAGCATCTCCAGCCCCTACACCTGCCTTAATTCCAGGAGGAAGCACACAGAGCTGTCACTGGGGGCATGTGAAGCCCGGCTGGATAAATGCATTTGAGTAATACGTTGTGATGCTCTGAATCCTTCCTGCTCTAGCCACAAAACATGGATGAGGTAGGAACTAACACCTAGGGAACAGTCTTCTCTACTTCCTAATTTACCTTTTTTTCTTTCACATGTGAATCAGCATGTATTCAGGGAAAAAAAACCCATTTCTTTCTCTAAGCTTTGTCTGTCCTACAGCGAGTGTGAAGGAGTGTGAATCCCATTTGGAAGCTCCTTCAGAGGAGGTGTCTCTGAACAGGTGCATGGTTTGCACACTAATCCAGCCTGCTCCACACCCTGCAGTGAACCCCATTAATGTGGAGCCTTGTTAAATGCCACGAGGCTCCAGGAATGAGCCAGCCCTGCTGTTCCCTTGATGCACCAAAAAATGAAACAGCTCGCAGGCTCTCGGGTCTGCCAAAGGACAGAGGAGAGCAGGAATCGCTCTGACTTGGCCATGGATGGTCTCTGGCAGGAGGGAGGAGAGCGAAAACCATGGTGGCATTTCCAAGGGTTTGATGTTAGGTGGTGCTGAGGGCTGTGCTCAGACTAATGAGGGGATTTATGTGGCATCCTGCAAGTCTGAAAATCCTTTTTAATGGCACCAAGCACACTCACACGCTCTTTTCCTCTTTCGTTTTTGTCTAATGCATTTGGGATTTTTTTTGCAGAACTGGTAGAAATACATTCTCCTGAGATACATTTTCATTAAGGTGTATATTTCTGGGTAGCAATATTTCTGCTGGAAGAGAGTTTGGCTCTCTTTATGAGCGTGCTCATTGGGATATCTGTGCAACGGGAACAATAAAACAGAGCAATGACTACATGGAGGTTAAAATGTGTCTGAATGGGAGCCCAGCTCCCTTGAGCATCACAAGGTGGGTGGCTTGTTCTTTGTGACCCCTCTGAAAACAGCAAGCTAAGGCAAGAAGGAGCTCTGCAACCAGCTAGATGTGTGTATTTAACTGAGGATTCACAGCTCCTGTGGGTGGTGTGGTTCTCTGAAGGGGCTTGTCCAACCTGTTATTCAGTATAGCTTCATGGAGGTGCTGGAAACTTTGGCTGCTCATTCCTACAGGTCTTGGTCAGCCTGGTCTGACATCTGTCCTTGTGTGGTGGTGTCAGGCCATGGGAGTGACACTGCTGTCACTTCAAGTCTCAGCTCCAGCATGTGGATGACTGTGGTGAGTTGGCCTTGGAGCTTCAGCCAAGTCACACCAGAGGTGGGGAGAAGGGGCTTGAAGGCACTCACAGGATTGGAGTGGGCTGGAGTGGAGCTCTGGGTCTGGCCTGGGTCCCTGGGAGCTGGAAGAGGGTACACTGAAGATATGAGGTCTCCACAAGTCATTAAATCTGTGAAAAATAGAGATACTGGATGTCCTCAGCTAAAAGCCCAGGTGAAGACAGCGGTGGGATCTGTCCAGATCATTCAGTCCCCACCTGAAAAGGAAAGGGCGAGCCCATTGGCAGCTGGAGATGGAGGAGAGCTTCTGAGTGCACTGCTAACACCTGGCTGGTAAAGAGAAGCGGAGATGTATTTAATGCAGCTGTAGGGCGCACTCTGCCGTGGCAGCAGGACCAGATGTCTGTGATGGCTGGTTAGATCACACAGGAATTATTAATTGGGGTGGCTCGGGGCGTTCTTTGCCAGAATGGCTTCATGGTCACAGCAGGGCACAGTGACAAAGGATAAAAAGCCCTTCAGAGGCATCAGGACATGTCCCTTCTTCATGGGGTGGGACATGGGCAGCGTGGCAGTGTCTCTGCTCGGAGCCCTTCAGAGCAGGATCTCTTGACTGTTGAACAATGCTTGGCAGAAAGGAGCTGGAATTATAAATAATGCATTTCCTTTGTCTTGCAGGAGTTCTGGAGGCAGAGGTACAATCAGATCAGCTGTGAACAGCTTACATAGCAAATCTAATAGGTTTGTAAATTAGATTTTGTGTTCATTTGTTTTTGCTGTAAGGCAGCTATTAATCTGCTTCTCCTCTTCGCTGGATAGTGCTGTTCTTATTTAGCAAATGTATCTGTTCCTTTTCACTTCTGCTTTGCATTTTCTTAATCATTCCCCCCCCCCCTTCTTCCAGCTCAGTGCAATAATCATTTGCAAATAACCAAGGATCTGGAAGTTGTGGTGATTGAGAGAATGAGAAAGAGTTTACTTATTGTGAAAATAAGTCAGTGATAGAGTTGCTATTTTCCATAGTTCTAAGTGCTATTAGAGGAGCAATCACTGTGTTTGGGATCAGAGCTCCAGTTTTGTTGCAGTGCACTCCCATCACATCCCTTTGTGGCAGAGTCATTCCCAGCCCCATTCAGTGCCTCTCTGTGTCATTTTTACAAAGGTTCCCTGTCAGCCCAGCCTTGCCAAGTGGCATGTTTGCAAAGGTTTGCATGACAGCATACAAGGAAGAGTGATATCATTCTGTGGTGACGTCACCACCCATGACCAAAACACAGAAACTGGACAAAAGAAAAACCCAGAGTTATTCCCTGGATTGCTTTACACTACTTCAGTCATGGGTTTTGACACCTTCTAGGTAAGGTTTCCAAGACATGAGTGATGCAGCAAAATGCAAGAAGCAAACAAATCCAACAGACTGGCAGCCTCTGGAGAGGAACTGTACACACACACATCAGGACACTGGCAGCCAGCATTTATAAACACATTTCCTTGCCTTTCCGACACATTATACAGTGTGAGCCACAGTGTGTCCTGGGGAGCCCTTTCCCTGAGCTGGAGATACCTTCCCAGGAGCTGGATGTTTGTCCATGAGCCTGGGCCACCACCTCTGCCCCATCTCTCACTCTGCTCCCTCCTTGGGGTTTATGTGCTTTATATAAATGCATTTATTTTCAAAGCATTTCCCAGCTGGAAGAAGCCCTTTGCAGTGGAGAGGGAGATTCCCTTTAGCTGATAGCAAGTGCTTTGGCTGTGTATTTTTCAGAGTGCTCTGAAGTGTGAAGGCTTCTTTGGGTCTGCAGATACACACGCAATTTCTTGATGAGATGCTTGGCTTTTCTTTTTGGAGGGCAGCTGGCTGGAACCAAATATTTGGAAGCTCCTTCAATTCATGCAGTTTGATTTTAATGTCACAGAAGTGCTGGGGCTGATTTGCTTCTTTGAGCAGGGATTAAACACTGGGGTCTCCCAGTGATCTCTGGCTGCTGCTCATTTCTTGATCTGGAACAGGGGATATGAGTTCTGAAATCCTTGTCTCAATTCTAAAGAGGAAAAAAGTTTCCAATGAGCCAGCCTGCCCCTCAGTACAGGATGCTCACAGCCCAGTCACACAAGCAGCACCCAGCAGCTCAGCTGAATTAATTTAATTTCTCCACTGGGTGAAGAGAGGGTTGCTCCTCTCTGGTGAGGTTTTTAATCTTCTCCAGGAGCTGAGCTGCCTCCACTTTGGGATGTTTATGTGTGACTACAAGGCAACAGGGCAGCCAGCTTGGCCAGGATGTCTCTTAGTGAATTTTGGGGTGTCCTATCTGCAAGTGCCCATCTGCCAGCCTGTCACAGTGTGTTTTTCTGTGCATGCCTGCCTGCAGCTCAGTGTGTAATGGTGTGTTTTGTGTGGAGCTGTGCCTGCCTGTCAGTCTGTGCTCGTGGAAGCAAGCGGGTATTTAAGGATCTCTGTCTGTCTGCTTGAGTGCAGCAGAATAGGAACAGCCTTTCACTTCTTGTTTAGCTAATAACTACAATTTGGCTTTTCTGATGAAGTTTGAATTCCAGCAGCCAGAGCTGAAGATGGTGATTAGAAGTGCCATTGGGATGCTAACGGATTCTGTCTCCCTCTCCCTGACTTTCTTTTCTCTAGAGCTGAAGTAGTAATAAATGACTCCTCATCTCCAGCTGTTGTTGACAGAAGTAATGAAAGCATTAAGCACAACATTAAACCAGCCTCATCCAAATGGAGACACAACCAGACACTCTCTTTGAAGATCAGGTACTGGTAATTACCTGTAGGACAAGAGACAGATTTGGTCCTCTCCAGTGCAAGCTGGCAAATTGTGTATCATCTAAAGAAGTCAAGGAAGAAATAAAAAGACTTAACCTCCTGCTGAGATGGGCTTCATATCTGTAAACGATTGCTTGGAAATGAGTTCTCAGCTAAGCCAGCTGGCCTAGCAACAACAAAACAAGGAGCACTTGAGCCCCTGTTTTTCAGGCCAAGTGGAATTTGTGTGTGCAGGTGATGGGTCACAGAGGGAAGGAGACCCTGAGTTAACTCAGGGACCCTCACTAATGGTGGGCTGACTGTGGTACCTGGCCCAGGCAGGGATGAGTGGAGAGGGAGCAGGCAGTGAGGTGGAGATATCCTTTAGTGAGCTGTGCCTGGAGAGCATGGTCAGATGGACTGGCCAGAGCGTCAGGGCACCCAGGAGGCAAGAGCTCATCTCACACCTGACCAGCTTATCTCTGCACCTCACCTGACAAGGCTCTTTTCTTCCCTGTGCTCAGAAAACAGATCTTGAAGTTCCTGGATGCCGAGAAGGACATTTCAGTGCTGAAGGGGACGCTGAAGCCGGGGGACATCATCCACTACGTCTTTGACAGGGACAGCACCATGAACGTGTCCCAGAACCTGTACGAGCTGCTGCCCCGCACCTCTCCCCTCAAGGGCAAGCAGTTCCCCAGCTGTGCCATCGTGGGCAACTCGGGGGTGCTGCTCAGCAGTGGCTGTGGCCCTGAGATCGACGCTCACAGCTTTGTCATAAGGTAGGGAGGGCACTGCTCCTAAAGCTCAGGGCTGTGGTGGTTTTGGGGTCCCCCGTGGCAGGAAGGAAATGAGTCTGACTCCATGTTCTGAGAAGGCTAATTTATTTTTACATATTATTTATTTTATTTTATTTTATTTTATTTTATTTTATTTTATTTTATTCTTACATGTTGTTTATATTTATTTATTTACTTACTTACTATATTATATATTTATATTATATTGATATAATCATTAATTATATTATCTATAATCAATAACTTATAATTGATATAATTTATATATAATTATTGATATAATTTTATATATAGCTATATTATTTATATCAATAACTTATATTGATGTAATTATTATGCTATTTATAATCAATACTTATAATAATTAATTTAATAATTAAATAATTAATTGCATTGATGAGTTGATATATTTATATATTATATATTATTTCTATATTTATTTATATTATTATATCATATTAATTATATCATATCATATATTACATTATATTACATTACATTACGTTACATTACATTACACTACATTACATTATACTATACTAAAACTATACTAAAGAATAGAAAAAGGATACTTACAGAAGGCTTAACAAGATACTAATTAAAACTCCTGACTGCTTCCAGAGTCCTGACACAGCTGGACAGTGATTGGTCATTAAGTAAAAAGAAATCACATGAAACCAATCAAACAACCAGCTGTTGGATAAACAATCTCCAACTGCATTCCAAAGCAGCAAAACACAGGAGAAGCAACCAGATAATTGTTGTTTTCATTTCTCTCTGAGGCTTCTCAGCTTCCCAGGAGAAGAAATCCTGGCAAAGGGATTTTTCAGAGAATATGATGGTGACACAGAGGGGCTTTGGGAGCAGTGCAGGGGTCTGGAGTCCAGGTCAGCTGGGGCAGCACAGCCTCACATCCCCATGTGTGCTCAGAGTTCTGCTGGAAACCCTTCCACACATCTCCAAGTGCTCCCCACAGGTTCTTGTAAGTGCACGTTGTCTCTTCTCATGGTGCACCATTTACCCCCTGAGCCTCCTCTTCTCTCAGGTTTGTCCTCTTGCAAACAAACCCCATCCTGGGCTCTCAGAAACCTGATTCACTTCTGCCCTCAGCACAAGGGTGCACCACACGATGCCCTGGCACCACATGCCCAGGTGTGACAGTCCCCTGTGTCCCCTCTGTCCCCAGTGCTGCACTGCACAGGGATGTGCAGCAGCACATCCTGAGCCCTGCTGGGACACACCAAATTCACTTCTGGAGGTGTCTGAAGTGGAGAGGAGGAGCTCCTGCCCTCCCAGCCCTATGCCCCTGTTAGCTGAGAGGCTGTGGATTCCACAGATGATTTATGTACATGCAGACATTTGTTTTCTGGTGAGTCTATTACAAGGACAGCCCAATCCATCAGCAGCTCACAGAGGCGGTGCTGGCGTGATGTGGGAATGAGGATAATGTCACCTCTGTTCCCCTCTGCTCCAGCTGCCTGGCTGCTGGCATCCCACAGGGGACAGAGCATCATCCTCAACTGGAACACGAGTGAGCAGAGGGAAAAACTGCTTACTGTGGTTCTGGCAAAGTTCAGTGGGGGGCATTCATGTCAGGCAGCAGAATTGCAGGATAAAAGCTTTTCTGGATGTGAGGATGGGGATTTTGAGCAGTTTCTCCCCAGCCATGTGCTGGTGCAGGTCTGGCACAGACACACTTCCCATTGTAGGTTGTCTGAGCCACTGCTGGAGCCTGCATCTTCCTGAGGAAGGTTTGCTCCATCCAGGCAGCCTTTTCAGCAGGATTGGCAGTGGCCAGTGACTGGGTCTGTGTCCAGGATACAGCTCCAATGTTTATTTTTACTGAATTCACTCCTGTAATGAGTCAATCAAAAGGCCCACATGCCAGTAGCTGGATTTTCCTTTAGTTTTCCCATCTGTAAGTAGGGAAAACAGTAATAATATCTGATTATCAAGGCAGATGCTTAGGAAGCAATTCCTGCTCATGAAATACTGTAACTTCACTGTCAAACACTACAGCAGAGCACTCAGTGTGCAAACACATGGGTAGCCTCTGCTTTTTAGGATGCTGGGTGAGCATCTCTCTGCATCTCCCCATCAGCTGGTGCCCAGTGCCATTTGCCCTGTGCCATGGGCATGGCACAGATACAGATGACCCCTCTCAAGGAGCTGTAGGGAACCACTCTATAACCAGGGTGATTTGCTGGGAGTTTGTCCCACAGGCCCTCAGCCCTCACGCTGCTGTGGCACAGGAGCTCAAGATACATGGCCCATGCCCACATCTGAGAGGTGGCACCAATGAACACTACAGAAAAAGGTGTTTTTTGAGGTCACAGCCTCCAGACAGCCAGACCCTGTGGGGACCATGTCCTGGCATCCCCTCCTGCTGGTGTCAGTATCACCGTGGTGCCACCAGGTCTGCTGTTTGCAGACACTCTTGAGGGGAGAAAAGGCCTTTGGGATAATGTTACTCCAGCAGGGCTGGAATTAAGAGACAAGTGCTTTCCTTAAGTGGAAAAGGCTGTTTTGTCTAAAATCTGCCATGGGAGCAGAGACAGGAGCTTTGTTGCTGATGTTATTTTTTAGGGGCACCAGAAGAGCTGCTGCTCCCTGCAAACCACCCAGGTGACACCACAGTTGTGGCTGACACTAGCCTTGTCCCAGGGGGACATGTGTGTACATGGGGATGGTGGCTGAGATGGAGATGGCTCATCATCACTAATTCACTGCAGAGGGTCATTCTCCCTCCTCTTCCTCCCAAAAGCGTGGGCGAACGGGCACAACGTCACCAGCCCTGGCTTTTGGCACCACTCCCCGCTCCTGCCTGTCACTGCCCTCTCTCGGTGCATTAAACAGAGCTGCTGGCTGTTCCCCTTTGCAGGTGCAACCTGGCCCCCGTGCAGGAGTACTCCCAGGACGTGGGCATGAAGACAGACCTGGTGACCATGAACCCCTCGGTGATCCAGCGCGCCTTCGAGGACCTGGTGAACGAGACATGGCGGGAGAAGCTGCTGCAGCGCCTGCACAGCCTCAACGGCAGCATCCTCTGGATCCCTGCCTTCATGGCCAAGGGGGGCAAGGAGAGAGTGGAGTGGGTGAACGAGCTCATCCTGAAGCACCACATCAACGTCAGGACTGCCTACCCCTCGCTGCGCCTGCTGCACGCGGTCCGAGGGTGAGCGCTGCTCTGCTGAGCTCCCAGACTGCATTCCCTGGGCTGGAAAGGGATCCCTGGGATTCTGGGATCCCCAGGTTTATGGGATCCCCAGGCTTGAGGCATCCCCAGATTGTTTTCCTGGAGGAGAACAGCACCACTTGTTCCCTTCTGCAGACCATGAGGGAGGATGGGGTGGTGGATGGTCCCTAGATAAGTGTGGTGTTTGTGAGGTCCTCAGGATGGAGGGGGAATTGAGAATCTGACTCAGTGTTCTCAGAAGGCTGATTTATTATCTTATGATATGATATGATATGATATGAATAATATATAATATATTATAAATATAATATAATATAATATAATATAATATAATATAATATAATATAATATAATATAATATAATATATAATATAACATATAGTTAATATGTAGTTAATATTTTAACATCTACATTAAAAATTTCTATTTGATATTGCTAATTATAACTTATATTTAATTTTGGTGTTTATATTTAGTATTAATATATTAGTATATATTATATAATATATTATTATATAATTTATATAATATTATATGGACATTAGATGATATATGAGTTATATTATATTATATTATATTATATTATATTATATTATATTATTATCTCTGAGACTCTGGAAGCGGTCAAGAGTTTTTATTAAAACCTTCTCTAAGTATCTTTACTCTTTAGTATGGTTTTAGTATAGCATTCTGTAATATCATCATATCATATCAATCATAATATAATATTATATCGTATAATATATATCTAATCATATTATATCATATGATATTATATTATATCATATTATATTATAGAATGCTATACTAAAACTATACTAAAGAGTAAAGATACTTAGAGAAGGTTTTAATAAAAACTCTTGACCGCTTCCAGAGTCCCAACACAGCCTGACCGTGATTGGTCATTAAGTTAAAACAATTCTCATGTTGGATAAACAATCTCCAGCTACATTCCAAAGCAGCAAAACACAGAAGCAATTAGATAATTATTGTTTTCATCCCTCTCTGAGGCTTCCCAGTTTCCCAGGAGAAGAATCCTGGGCAAAGAGGATTTTTCAGAAAATATGACAGTGACAGATAAGAACTTGTGAGCAGGGGCTCTCCACTGTGCTCTTTGAGGGCTTTTAGCAATATCTAAACCTCCAGGGCTTTCCTGGGGCATCACCAGAACTCCCAAGGCTGTGGTTAGGGCTTTCCTTGGAGAAATGGGTGAGCACTGAGCTAGCCATGAGATTTGTCACCTTGTGCTCCAGTGACACAGGTCTGACACTGCTCCTCAAGTCAGGGAGCTCCTGTGTGAGCCTGGCTGGGAGGGCAGTGATGTGGTCTGGTCCTGCTGGTCACATAAACAGGGCCAGGTGCTGGTGACTGGGTTTGCTGTGAGGGAAGGAAAAGGTCTTTGTGTTCTCTGCCTGATCTTCTGGTGTACAGGAGACACAGCTGTGGCAGGAATGAGAAAAGAAAGAAAATAAAAGAAAGAGAGCCCCAGGGGTGAGATTTTCATGTAAATGACTTGGGAATGGAGTAGGCTCTTGCTTTTGTGCTTCATTTCTCTAGGAAGATCATGATTCTTTAGGCATTTAGAGAGTTGAGGCAGACAGTGACTTTTGCTGGAGATGACTTATGGCAGCAGTTGTCCTCTGATCCTGACCAGACCCCGTTAATCTCACAGGATGGCAATTTCCTTGTGTAGCTGGTGCTCCCACTTCTAAAAAGCCTCAGCATTAATGTCCCTTGATTTCTTTGAGCTCTTCTCCTGCACACCTCTGAGTCTCAGCTGGTCCCTGCTGGTGTTTCCTGTCCCAGCTCAGCCTGTGTCAGTGCTGGGGGTGGATTGGGGACAGGTTTTGGGGTCGTTTCAGCCAGGAGCAAGACAAGGAGGGGCTCTAGGGCAGCCTGGGAGGAGTGGAGTGGCTCCATGGTGCCTCACAGGCAGCAATAATCAGCAAGTACCACTTCTGCCCTAAGTGTTAGAGGCTGCCCTGGGCCTGAGAGGGAAGTTCTCTCACAGAAAACACTGGCTTTGAGGTAAAGAAAGGGAAGGAAATGATGCCACAACTCACAGAAGGGGAAGACAGGAAGGAAAAAAAAAATCCCACAACCCAAATTCAGAGCTATTTCTAGCCATAATTGACTTACTTTCATCTGTCAAAATAGAATTAAGCTGCTGTAATAAGCCCTCTAAATCAACAGGCTGCTAATCCTGTGCTGGCAACCATTCCCAGTGCCAGAAAGTTCCCATAGGAAGCTTTGCAGAGGAGTTGGCAAGGGTTAGGCATCCCTTTCCCATGGGAGAGGAGGATGCCTCCACAAGCTCAGCTGCTGGGCTTATCTTCTAGCTCACAGCATCTCCCTGGCCCCTCTCTGTGTCCCTGTGGTCCAGCTGGGCTGGCTGGCAAGCTGGCTGTCCCTGGTTGGAGCCACCACCTGTGGCTGGCAGGAGCTGCCTGGCTGCAGGAGGTGCAGGGATTTTGGGAGAAGCCCAAAAGTATTTTGGGAGAAGCTCAGTGCTGTATCGTGCACAGAGCAATGCAGACATGGCTTGGAGCAGTGCCTTCCTGGAATCTTGGAATCCTGAAGTCTTTCCTTTCTTCCTGGAATCCTTCCTGGAATCCTTCCTTCCTGGAATCCTTCCTAGAATCCTTCCTTCCTTCCTGAAATCCTTCCTGGAATCCTTCCCTCCTGGAATCCTGGAATCCTTCCCTCCTGGAATCCTTCTTTCCTGAAATCCATCCTTCCTTCCTGGAATCCTTCCTGGAATCTTGGAATCCTTCCCTCCTGGAATCCTTCCTTCCTTCCTTCCTGGAATCCTTATTGGAATCCTTCCTTCTGTTTTAGTGTAACCATGCACTTCACTGGGCAGGGAATGTGGTTTTTGGCTCCTCAAAACCCCCAGAGGCTCAGAGAGGTGCAGCCAGTGAGGGCAGCAGGGACCTGAAGGGAGCTGGGGGTGCTGGGGGTGGCAGCAGGACAGTGGCTGGACAGTGGCTGGTGCTGGTGCCAAACCCCAGGGTCCTGGTTGGAAACACATCCAAGCCCTGCCTGGGCTGCTCACCGTGCTGGGGCAGGGCCAGGAGGCTCCTGGCAGCACAGGGCAGCACTAATTCAATTATAGCCACAGGGGCCAGAGCTGATCCTCGTCAGGGATTGCCCTCCAAGCCAAGGGAGCTGCTGCCTGACCTGCCCTGCTGCTCTCACACTCATCAGCAGCAAAACAAGGATGCCCACTGATTAGCAATTAGTCTAATGAGAAGTGCAGCCCCCTCAGAAAGGCAGAGCTGATGGGAGCACTGCAGCACTGACCCACGAGCTCACAGAGGGCTCACCCAGGGCGGGGGGTGAGGGGCTGGGCTGTTCTCAGTCAGTGTTAACCCTTTCCTTGGTGCAGGTTTGGAACTTGGGTGGATTTGAGTGATCCAGGCAGAACTGAATGAACTGGGCACAGCCCAGGGAGGTGGGTGATGCTCTTGGTGCTGTGTAGGAAATCTCTCAGGTACAAATTGACCATCTGCTCAGGGTAATTGATGTGATGTGGTTTGGGGTGAAGGAATCCTCCCTCAGGACCAGAATCACTAGAGTTAGCTTATCCATCTTCTGTGTCACTGTCCAGTTCCTGTGATCATCCCATGTTTTTGCTTATGGTCTCCAATAACATCCTCTGTCTCTGCAGCTCTCTCTGTGCTGGTTCATAGCACTGTGGTTTTATTTGACAGATCTGAGATTTGTGAAACAAATACATTTTGTGGCTTGTGGTGTGCAGCAGGGAATGAATAACCCACAAATCCCCTCAGCACATCCCTCTGTGCTGCAGTGGTCTGCTGCTGCAGAGAGGTCCCAGCTTCTCCCTTTTTGAATAAAACTACCTTTTACCATCTACCTTGAGTTGATTTGGAAGTCACAAAGAAATGAGAAATGGGCGAAGTTTTCCAGCCAAGGCACCCCTTTATTTTTATTTTTTTTTCCTAAGGAATAGCACTTTCTACAAAGGCTGACATCTTAGCCAACTTCAATTTGGCCACAAAAGTGTTGCCTTTTCTTTCTCCACTACCAGCAAAACACATTTGTGAGCCCTTGACTCCTCCTTGAACCACGGTATTTATTGTCCTGCTCTGCTTTCCCTCAAACCAAAACTCATTTCAAGTGGCAATTGAGCCTTTTTCCTATAATTTTCAGTGCATTTTGGGGCATTTGTAGAGGGTGCATTGCCGAGATAAGTAAAAAGCATTTGGTTTTGTTGTCCTTAACAGCATCATTTGAGACATCACCTTTCAAGCTGTGAGGGTGCTTTAAATGTTTGCTGATCGTGGCAGGCTCTTCTCACACGGTTCAGCTCTCACCAGGAGGGGAGAGAGGAGACAGCCTTCAGCATTGCAGTGCAGGAGCTCAGAAAGGAGCCAGGTCACCCCCAGGGATGGAGAGGGGACAGTTTGGTGGCAGCTCCTGTGTGTTTCAGGGTGTGTGGATGCTTTGCTTTGCAGTGGTTCCATAAAATATCCCCTGAGCAATTCCTCTGGCAAGGGGAGCAACCCTTACAAGTTGCTTTTTAGTGTCTCCAGAAATCCTTGTAATCCCCATTGCCAAGCAGCTTTCGTTAGAGAAATAACATGGAATGCAGGCAGAGAGGGGAAATAATTGTGTTGGGAGGTTTGTCTGTCACTGCTTGCAGGGAATTCAGGGACTTGTTTCACTTTGTCTGATCTGCTCTAGCATTTCTCACTGTGTCCATCGCAAGGGGCTCTTGGCAGTAACCAATTCCAGCCCCATAAGATTTTGTTAAGGGCTCCTTGAGAGAGAAAAAAAAATTAAAAATCAATAAACCTTCCAGCTCCTTGGCTTGGTCTCCCATTAGGTTTAAATCCAAGCAGCTGTGACAGCTGTTGTGTGCTTTTCAGGACAATCCTGCACTCAGAATCCTCAGTTTCTCCTGACCTGTTTCTTCCACTGCATCCCTCCACAGCTTCTGCTTTTCTCTAACACAT